GGGGCTCATACATGGACAATCTTTTGTGTTGGTGTAATAGTGATAAACAAGTATAGTAATAGGAATGTTCGGTATGAGAAATTTCCGGTATCGGTATACCGAAAAAATTATACCGATATTATCGGTATACCGGTTTTTCTTTGATAATTATAAAGGAAAATTCTTTAATGGAAATTTGAAGGATTTTGAGTAATTCTAAAAGGGAAAACGATAATTTCGAAGCTGTTTCGAACATGTTTCGAATGACACATACTCAGTGTAAAATCTCACTGAAGTGGTAGAAAGTTCTTCAAATTGCCATTCAGTAGTAAAATTAAGGTAACGTTATGGTTTTGCCATATAGTTGGTAAATTTAACACGGTATACCGAAAAATTCTGGTATATCGGAAATTTCGGTATATCGGTATGGTTGAATATCCTGTATCGATATACCGATATTGATTTAATTAATACCGATATTTTCGGTATATCGGTATACCGAACAGTCCTATATAGTAATAGTGATAAACAAGTGTTAATTAAACATAGTAATAATAGTGATTAATAGTGGTAATAGTGATAAACAATAGTGATAAACAAGTGGGCTTATATTTGCATGGGCTTATATTCAGGGGGGGGCTTATATTTGGAATGAGGTGAGCGTTAGTACATGTGGTGGCCTTATACACAGAGGGGCTTATATTCGGGGGCAGAGACGGATTTTCATATTTTCGTTCGGGGGTTGGACAAATATCTGGGGGGTGCTGCTGCTTGCTTTGGCCGGGGCGTGGTGGCAACGCCCGGATAGGCCAAGGAAAAAGTTTAACAAAATTTGTTTTCTAGGCCTGCATGGCGAGATCTGAGACCATAATATTGGTAATTTTACAAATTTAGTAGTAAGAATAATCAAATATGAAAGTATCAAATCAAAATATATATAATTTGCGGGGGTGGAAAACATTTTGGGGGCGGTGCCAAATGCCTCTGGGGGAGGGGGGTGCAAATCATTTCTAGGGGGGGGGGGGTGAGCACACCCCCCAGAAATCCGTGCCTGCTTAATACTTTATGACTTTATGAGCAGTAGTGGATGAAGTTTGATCAAGGACTGGATATATATGTATGATGTGAACAATGTTAGCATCTCCTATAGCAAACCACCAATAAGAATGATGGCTGCCTCAAACTGATGCTGTTTAATATTGCAAGGATCAGGAAGGTGATACAAGACAGATAGATAACTCATAGACCTGCTGAGATCTTGCTGAAGATAAACCTATTAGCCCGGGTCAAACGAGGATGACAGTTGATAAAAGTTGCAACTCTCACTCGCATTTGACCGCCAAACCTCATCAACCCTCTGATGCACTCTTGTCAACTCTCACTGACTTCAAGCTGGTTCAAATTGTGATGAGAGTTTTCGTTATGCGCAGTAATATCCAATCAACTCTCATGCAACTCTTGTGCTTGTTTGACTGGGGCTTAGTAAATATAATAATTAAGGAACAAGGGTTGAAAATTCCTGCATTATGAAGTCATCTGATGATAAATTCGCCTCATTTGCATGCGAGAATGGTCCCAGAATGTTTTCTTCAATTTTCTACTATGGTATTCATGACAAGCTTTATGATTCCATGAGGCTAAAAATACAAAAATGTGATACTTACGGAGCAAAAAATGCACCTATTGCCAGACCATAACGGGTACACAGTGCTTGAGGTACAACCCTGCAAAATAGAAACAGTTTAAGTTTCATTCTGTATTAACGCATCCCCATTCCCAGGGCCTCTCTGCCGCGCACGACCTTCATAGGACCTGGGATACACGGAAACTGAAGTGCAAGAAAACTTGCAGTAGTTTCTAAAGTACATACTCTTGAATTGGGTCACTAATTAGCACCCGTAACAATTTTCACAGAGAGAAGTATTACGAAGAAAGAAAGTATTTGTATTGACATATTTTGATAGTCTAGACTAATTTTGCCACGTGAAAACTGCTCAACTTCTGGGAAATAGCAGTTCTCTAAGAAGCCAATCAGATTTCTCCCTTTAGTCATCTAACCCAGAGTCTAGTTTTCAACGAGTAAGGTACGGACTGAGTGAAAATGGCTCTGGAGACAATAACGGTACTAACAGGCCAACAATTAGAAAGTGATTTGGGGGGGGGGGGAGTTTCATCTCACACAATGTTTTTTTCTGGGGATCTACTTGCACTGGAATTTTTCCCTCTTTGCCCCACACACACACCTAAGCCTGAAATTTTAGAAATAACAGTTTACAACTGCTTGATTTCTCTGACAAAGCTATTCAGTTTAATTAAAATAGGTTATGTTTAGGTTACCACCCTTACTGGACCTCTAGGAAGAAGAATTTAGAACTGAGAAAACATTATCCAGTGTAAATAATGTTAGTTAAGTTTTGGCTTCTTCCTGCATACTAAACCAAATATGCAATCATGGTTCTTACTGGACCTCCATGCAGAACAGTTGTAACTAATCATGTATACTATCCAATGAATATAAATAAAGCTAAAACAATTCAAACAACGTACTCTCCAAACAGTAGCACAGCTGTGACAGACACTACAATAGCAACAACAGGATTAGATACTCGATCCAAACACAAAGGCATGCTTTCGACAGCGACAGCATTTGCAAGAAGCAACGTAACAAGCAACAAATGATGTTGTGAAACCAGCGGAATGATCTTTGCTGCATGTTTCTGTTCGTCTGGTTTTCCACCTCGGGCTAGGACTTTTAAACTGAGAATATCCAGAGACAACAAGCCCATAGTTAACCCTGACATCAAACCTATTTAAAAAAAATATTCAGTGTGATACCATACTGGATGGATAAGGCAAATACAGGTGTAACCACTGTGGGGGAGCAGGTTATCTTCAAGACCAATTTTTTAATTCTTTCAAAACTGCATGAGGAGAAACTGGGGGGGGCTAACCTTTTAATGTTTTCATCTATGATATAAATATGCTACCACATATGTGGCTTTCAGATTATCATAAAACATGTCTAACATGCATGCACAGGTTTTTTTTCCGGGATTTTTTAGGGCCGTCGGGCCCAAAAACTCAATCTTGAATTGAGTTTTGAAACTCAATCTTCTCATCAAACAATTCTGTGCAGTAAAATGAAGTTGTTTAAGTTAAATTCATGATGTGTGCAAATTAGTTTTCAGTTGAAAACCCGAAAATTAAGTAAAAAATGGCTGGAAATCATTTCACAACACAAGAAAAACAACACATTCGCCATTGTTAACCAGTTTATAGACGTGTCCCTTAGTGCCCCCTGCTTTAACACATTACATCTCAACTACACTAAAGTAAGCACAGGTTTCAGCCTCCCGGTAGGGGGGGGGGGGGAGGAGACAGCCACCCCAGACCCCTAGTTGTTCAGCTAAACTCAATCTTCTCTGCAAAAACGAACCCACGAGAAAATCCTGGAAAAAAACCCTGATGCATAATTATAGCATTTCACAGATCCTAAAAATAAAAAATTTCCAGGCTGGCTGATTAGACCCCCACCCGTTTGGGGCTGCATGACTATGCTCCTGGGCAAATAAGAATGTTTGAACTCATTAGACAATAAACCAAATATAATATTCATGTGCAACCATATAATATATATATTTCACAGAAACAATTTCTTGCAAAGAATTTTGCCATCGTGGAATCGATCCTTAAGACAAACTATGCAGTGAATTATCTGTCTAAGTTCGTCCACTTTTAGACAAACTATAGTTTGTCTACTTTTAGACAAACTTTCCTACATTGTTCGTCTTGATGGATGATCCACATTTCCACACAAAAAAATTATATCAGACAGACAATGTTTTCTTTATCTCAAATCGTTTATTAGACATTTAGTGGCATTTTATAAATATTCAATGTTAACTATTAAGTCACTATATTGCCGGCAGTTTACTAAATAGCAGGCTGTCGGCTGTATATAGTCACTTTGTTGTTTTTACATTCCAAAAATTGAGGTTGCAGATATAGATCAGGTATTATCTAGATGCTTTATGCATGATTGAAAGACCATAAACAGTTCATTGTTTAAGCTGTTTATATACACAATAACCCAGCTGGTGTTACTGAACATGGACAATAGACTGAATATATTAACTATATTAAGTAGCCTGGTCTGTCTTTAAAAATGGTCTGACAAATTTTTTCGATCAACTGTGCAGTTGCTTGGGTTTTGGCTAATAATAGTCGACCAGCTTTTCAATATTTACATTCAATTCCAGGGCCTGATTCTAGATGCGCTTTTTCCTTGCGTGAAATGAACTATCATACATGCTGTAAAGATGCATTAGGTTTTGCGTGTAATGTTAAATTCAATAGGATTATTCATGTGCAACCATCTATATTTCACAGAAACAATTTCTTGCAAAGAATTTTGCCATCAATTGTGGAATCGGGCCTTAAGACAAACTAAGCAGTGAATTATCTAAGTTTGTATAATGCTTTATTCAATGTTAACTATAGTCACTATATTGCCGGCAGTTCACTAAATAGAAGGCTGCCGGCTATCATGCACTTTGTTGTTTTTACATTCCAAAAATCGAGGTCGCAGATATAGATAGGTAAAATCTAGATGCTTTATGCATGATTGAAAGACCATAAACAGTTAATTGTTTAAGCTGTTTATATACACAATAACCCAGCTGGTGTTCCTGAACATGGACAATAGACTGAATATATTAACTATATTAAGTGGTCTGGTCTGTCTTTAAAGACCTTTAAAAGCATCAGAAAAAATTTAAAACTTTTCAATTATTAAACTTTTACAGGTAGTTCAGACACAAACCATGGCTCAGGCTGTTTATTGTAGCATACTGGATCCCTTTTAATAAATATTCTAAATATAGTTAATATAAAACAGTTAATAATAATGTGTTAATGATTGGAACATGCTGAACATATTATACAACAGTAACAATACATATTATTACGTAAACACAACAATATAACTATATAAAATTTATGAAAATAGTAAAATACTGCGATAACTTACCAGCAAACAAGACTAGACCAACGTAAACTCCTAAATAAACCCAAAACATTTTATCGTGATAATTCAAGGGGGACTCAGGAATTTCGAACACTTCATTGTTGCAGTGGACTTTTTCCCCTTTCTGAAGGCAATATTTGACACCATTGCAAAAAATTTCGTTCGTGAGATGAGCCAAACTGTGGCACGTTATATTTGACATTATTTATACAAGGATATAGGTAGGAAATACTGTATTTTTTTGTCTTCATATACTGGAAGGAAGTTTGCATCCAAATGATTTGACAATATTTCATTTGACATGCATACTCCGATACTCGTGTACATAGCCTGCGCGCAGACAATACACCCGAAAAAGGCGGGGAAATCCGAGATATCTTTGTTGCCTCCACTGAGCTGTATAAGTTGCCTCCCCTGGAGTTTCCGTTTAAATCCTCGAGTCCGATGTCTTTTGTGGTTATTTATGGATGTCTGTAGCGGTTGGTGGTAACTAATGGTTGTTCATGGTTGTTTATGGATGCTTGTGGTTCTCTATGGATGTTCATGGTTTTTTATGGAGGTTTATGTGGCCACAGCCAACTTCGTGCCCTGGGTACGAGTTTGTGGGCAGGAAAATGATCGCGGGCACGGAAGAAATTATTTCGCTGGCCTCAGAGTGACAAAACGTAACAAAGCAACGGTTTTACTAACACTAACCCTACTCCAAACACCAACTCTAACCATAACCCTAATCCTTACCCTAACCTAACCCTACTCCAAATTTGTTTCGACGAAATGTTATTCTGAGGTCAGAGAAATAGATGATGCCCGCGGGGGGCACGGGGTACGGGATTGACGAAAAATCTGGGAACGAGTTTGATGACCACATATTTTTTACACAATTACATTATAATTGGTGTACTTCCCATTGATCATAAGTTAGATTTGAACGTCGATATTCAGTGATATAAAGCACGATTAAACACAACTTTACAAGAATTTATCCAATTAAATTTAATTTCACTTTTATCGATGCCTTAATTTTATATATATTATATATCAGCAACAGAACTGCTCACCATTATAACAAAACTTTTGTATTAATATTTGTCTTTTTTTGTACATCTACATTTAATCTCGTGTCACCAGCAACACAAACCGGGAAATTCTCTTATAAGCAAATGTTACACCCCCAAACAATATGAAATCTGGTCATAGTTAAGATACGCAGCATAAAATGGCACAACACAGGAAGAATAAAAACAATGTTAAAATTAATCTGTCGGGATTCTGAGCCTGGAATTTTACGTATACTGAAGCACAATAACCGAGTATATTGGTGCTTTGGTAACTCCCTGTATAACATTGTTAAAGGGTGTGGGTAATGGAATTCAAATCTGTTTGTATAGGTAATAGTATGGTTTCTCGTGCAAAGACGATCAAAATTGCACACAAACTAGTCCGAGGACGAGTGCAATTTGAAGTCTTTGAAAAACTACCGAGTGTATGTTCCACGAGGAACCAAATTCCACGAGAAACCGTACTATTACTTATTAATAATATACATGAAAAAATTATGCAGTCACGTCCATGGGTAGGTCACATGCGAAATAGATCATTTTAATATATTATAACTAATTTTATTAGAAAATTTGTCGGATTTTTAATTATTATTTTCACTTTTCGCACTGAACTTCAGTGCTCTTAGCCAATCAGAATTGAGAATTTTTTTCATGTATATTATTAATACAGAAAGAACTCATTAAACTGTAAAGTAAGTCATTTAACGACTTTTATTGATCTTTTTTGTTCTCG